TTAAGCTCTGGAGGACGCGCCGCCCTCAACAGAAACAACCCCCCAACAAATGGCACAACATATAGAGGCAGCCACTTTCTCGCAACCCTTACGTACTAGATGAGGACGGTAAGCCCTTCTCGATGTCAACAGACTCACCTTGGCTGACTTGGGCAAAAAAAGGCATTTTTATGGTTGGGGACCTGTGGGACCAGCACAAAGGTGACTGGGCCATGGCAGCTCAGCAACAGTTGAAGTTAAAATATGCCAAGAACGTGGAGGACAAACTGGTTAAACTAAGGGAGGCCCTCCCCATATCATGGCGGCTGGCCCTCGGAGAGGGCCCCACAGTTCGTCAGGACGACTAGGTAATTAGGCATACAGAACTGACCCTCCCGCTCACAGTATTTAGGGTCCAACAAAACAAGGAAGGGTTGTGTTTATTGGAAGCATATGAGCCTGCCCAACCAGGAGCCAGATTCTCTAAACTTACACGAAACGAAGACCTTGATGACGATGAAAGTTGGGTGTGTCTCATTCGTACATGTGTGGTGGGGGACTGCTAGGAGGGATTTTTTGTGTACGAGCCCTCAATGCCACTCGCCAGGCTACCTTTCGATCCGCGAGAATGGGAGTGGCCCGGTCCGAATCCAATGCATGTATGGGACTACTCTGTCAAAGGGGGATATAAAACCTCCAGCCCACCTGCAATAATTAATCGCACGATATCTAACAGATGGGCGCGAGACTCACCCAGCGACTCGCGGCCGATGGAGGCCTTGCCTTGGGCCAAGTATTCAAAGATTATGCCCACGAATCTCAGAGCGCTGCAATGGCAAATCCTCCACCGCTGCTTGCCCACCCCGGACTGGCTAGTGTCAAGAATAGATCTTGAACAAAAAGGTCTGTTGTCCCCCATCTGCACTTATTGTGACAAGTCGTCGCCTCCAGACCGGACAACATTTGAACACTGCCTGCTGGCCTGCCCAATGGTCACCCAGTTATGGAGGTGTTGGGACGCAGCATTTCACTCCCTGACAAGCTGCTACATCCCATGGGACATCGACCTTCTGTTGCTCGACAAAAAATGACATCTGATGGCGCAGTGGTCCCCATTCGCCTCCAATCTCTTCTCGTATATGAGGCTGGAAGTTCTCATGCTGACCTGGAGAGCTAGATGTTACTTTCAAAGGAATAGTCACCAATTCGGGTTGCAGCAAGCACAACAAGCCATCGAGGAGGTAATCAGAATGAAAACCCAGGAGGCCTGGAAAAACTTTCTCAGGGATTATCGGGAGGAAAAGGAACCTGTGGCCAAAGCAGCCATCTGGGAATCCTTCCTTCAACTATGGCAGAACCCGGCCAAACTGTTCTCGGAAATGGATGCTGCACATAACATACGATCGAAGCCGTGGAGATCATCGGAGCCAGCCTGGCAAAGAAGACCCCTCAGTGATTTTGTAGTTCCCTTCCTCCCGACTAATTTCGTGCTAATATCTGACTAGCAGTGTGGTCCCCCTAGGTCTCCCTTATCCCTCAAAGACTGCTGCAGCTGCCGCCCACAGCCACTACCCCTCCCCCCCCCCCCCCCCCCCCCCCCCCCCCCCTCAAGCCGCCCTTGCCTCCCCTCCTTCATCCTCCTCAACCTCGTCTGGGTCCCCCCCACGTCGTTCGTTCCCCAACCCCATCAGTGGTGACGGCCTCAGTCAGCAGAAGACATGAGAATCTCCTGATAAAAGGAGAGCGGTCCCGATGAGATAGGGATGACACAGGAGGAAGTATACTGGCAACAAAACAACAACAGATAAAGGAAGATCCCTGGCTATAGAAGAGATCATGGTCGATGGCCGGGGCAGGGACAACAGATGGTTTCAGCAGCCACAATATGACAAGGCTCGAATGGATTCGAAACTGTAGGAAGGTCTGAACGAGACTCCAACACAGGAACAGGAATGATTCTTGCTGAGTGGATTGGGGAGGCCTGCTTTCAATCCCCTGAGCACAGTCATGTGTTCTAAAGTTCACTATAAACTCAACCCAGTTGCAATGTAGATCGGCAGACAGGCAAGCAGCTAAGGCAAATTAGTCAATTAGTAAGTTCTACTTTCCTATTCGCTAGACTTAGAGGTACTTAGAGGAGTGCCCAGCAGTTGTCTACCATCACAACTATATGTATCAGACAACAAGCAGCCACAATGTTCAGGGACACTGGACCCGCTTTCCAGCAGGTGTTGCTCCCCACCAATAGATGGAGCCCGCCCGGGACTGCTAGAGGTGTTTGCTCTTACCAGCACCCCTAACACCCACTCGGGTGATTCTTCTTAAAAAAAAAAAAAAAAGAGAGAGAGAGACACCGCCACAGACAATTGCTGCCCAACTCCCGCGTGGAAACGCACAGATTTTGCCCACGGCTGTTTGCCGCAGCCATGGGCCGCATTTCCCCAAATAACTTGTTTCGGTAATCGTTCTGATTACAAAAACTCGCCAAAGCGCAGCCGTCGACATTTCGGAACAAGCTGCTGCCTACTGTCTGTGGCCAAGCCCATCGGTGACTGTCAGATATCGAAGATCTGGCGGCCTAAGAAAAACTTGAATGCTGTTCAAGACTTTGCGTCCCTTTTTGGGGCCTCCCGATACGGGGCAGGACCGGTCCTACGCGTTCCAGAGCTAGGGCAACTAAATAGTTGTAGGTCCTCCTAAAAATTCAAAGGGTGAGTGAGGAGAAGAGGTGTTGCATACTGTAACTGTGCAGACCAGAACAAGAACCGACCTCTCAATACAAAGTACAAGATAGCGTAGCGGAAGACTTAGATACCAATGATCCGAACAATCAATATTGCAATGCAGCCCCGAACATACATCATCATCATCATTCCATGGTGTGAAGGG